ATATTATATATCTCCTCCTTCTTCTTCTTCCTCCTCCTCCTCCTCTCCTCCTCCTCTTCCTGCTCCTTTTTCTTCTTCTTCTTCTTTTTTTTCTCCTTCTCCTTATTGTATAATAAAGAAAAATATACCATTAAGAGGTAACGAGGCAGGAAGAAGAGCAGCAATTGTTGATATAATAATGAGTTATGCTGCTGATTTACAGCGTTGTTTTGCTGCTGCTGCTGCAGCAAAAGATATAGCTCGGGTGTCTGTACACCTTGCAGTATCTATATTAGATAATACATGTTTAATAAAAAAAATAAAAAATATAAATAATAATAATAATATAAATAATAATAATAATATAAATAATAATATAAATAATATATGTATAGGAGGAGGACAACAAGGGCAACAAGGATCAGCAATTGGATCGTCAGCATCAGCAACAGCAGCAACAGCAGCAGCAGCAACAGCAACAGCAGCAGAAAGTATAAAGAGTTGTGCTGCATTTTGTTTATTATTAGCACTGCAGCACGAAGCACCTAATAGTACAGCACTAGAGGGAAGACTAAAAAGAATATTAAATATAGATAATATTATTCCTGCTGCCTTTGGTGTATCTTATGCACAACTGCAGCAGCAAACTCTTGCTGCTCTGCATAATTCATTATGTATACCATTACCTATTGAATTTGCATGCAATTATCTACAACAAATTGAACAACAGCAGCAGCAGCAGCAACAGCAGCAACAACAGCAGCAACAAGGAGGAGGAGGAGAGGGAGGAGGAGGACAGGGAGGAGGACAGGGAGGAGAGGGAGGAGGAGGATTATTATCATGGGGAGGAAGTAGGGCAGAATTAGTATATTATTTATTAGATTGTTTTTGTCTTATACCTGAATATGTTTATACTAAACCTTCTCTTGCTGCTGCTGCTGCTGTTGAATTAGCATTACGTATAGCGCATGCAGATAATAATAATAATAATAGTAATATAAATAATAATATAAATAATAATAATATAAATAATAATAA